AGATAAAATTTGAGCAAATTTTTAGTTGTCAAACAATTTCTTTAAAGAATTGGAATTTTTTTTGTTGTTTTTTTTCCTTTGATTAGTATAGTTTTTTGTCCTTTTATTTGCATAAAAAATTAAATTTCATTATAATATTGTCAATGAAAATATTTTATTTCATTTAATTGATGTTAAAATTTGATTTTTTTTTTCCATTTTTGCGTGGTAGAAAATCATTCTAAAAAAAAGAAAAAAAAAACCTAATTATAAAGTGAAAGAGCAGGTTGCCAAATTTTCCAAGTTTCAATTGTAATACGTCTTGTATTATTGTATTTACTCGGATCCCATTTCAAATATTCATCAATCCATGATGTCCACAATAATCCATGAAGTAACATCGTTTGTTCATTCTCATCCTGTTATTACTTTTTTTTAAATCTTTTTAATCAATAATATTGTTATTTTTTAAATAAAGAACAGAATGTAGTAAGAAGTTAAAATTAAATCAAAAAAAAATAATAAATAGTAAGGATCAAATCGTATATATATTAATTAATTGAAATCAAAAATTAAAAAAAAAAAAGAAAAAGAACTTCATAAGCTTTATTTGTCGATGTAATGATAGAACAATTAATCTAATTTTTTGGATCAATCAATTAAATTTAGTTTGAGAAAAATGAAGATCAAATCGTATATATATTAATTGATTGAAATCAAAAAAAAAAAAAAAAGAAAAGAAAAGAACTTCATAAGTTTTATTTGTAGATGTAATGGCAGATTAATTGATTTTATTATTATTTTTTTTTGGATCAATCAATTAATCGATCAATCAAATTTACTTCAAGATCAATTAATAGGCGCATATAAGAATATATACATTTGATAAAATTTCGAAAAAAAAAAAATTCATACCACTTTTTCAATATGTCCAATTAACAGGTAAATTTGAATTTGCATTGTTGTCGAATCTTTTTTTACTGGACGATGTTTCCGATTATAGGATTTCATTAAAGCTTCTTCTAATTTTCGATTTGTTACTGTTGCCCATCCATTTGCAATTGCCAAATATAGCAAAACTAAATTTTTACAAAATTTTAAAATTTGAAATTAAAAAAAAAAGAAAGGAAGTGTTCAAAGTAAAAATATTTTTGAAATTGTTTTAAACGATTTGTTTTTAAACTAAATTCCTAAAATTTAATTTGAAATATATTTGAAATGAAAAAATTTAACCGTTAAATTCAATTCGTAATAACATTTCAGGCGTGATCATAAATTCTACAACAAATTCATCGGATTTTAATACATTTGCTACTCTGGAGAGTTTATGAAATTTGATATGTTTAAATAATGATGATACATAATCCATTGTTACTGCTATTCTATTGCATAAACAATGTATCAATGAAATTTTAGAAATTAAAATGAAAGAAAATTTTTCAATAATTAATAAAATTATTTTTAATTAACACAAACAAATGGTATATGTAAGAGAGAATTTATCAAAATTATTCAATAAATTAATGATAATTATTGCCGGACAAAAATCGAAGCAATTATTTGTAATCAATAATAATTATGACAATTTTCATGATAAAAAAAAAAGGAAAAAAGTGAAATCAATTTGATTATTTTAGTTTTAATCATTAAATCATTTCGATTACATTGGTTTTAATTTTTCTTTTTCTTTACATTTTATCAACTTATCATCATGCATTTAAACTATTGTTTATTCTTCATTATTAACTCTTCTCAACCCTTCGCTGATTACGGACTACTTTGAATTTTTTACATTAGCATGGCGTAGCAAGTTTAAAAATAGTAAGTTTTGTTAATTTAAAGACATATTTCAATCAAAGTTTTAATTTTTAACTTATTAGTTAAACTTAAAGCAACATTATAATATTAAAAAAAAAAATGAAATATGGTTTTTTTTCATTCTTTTTTAATAACTTTTGAGATGAAAATTTTAGTGTACTAATAATTCACGCAACCATTTGTTATTTGAAAATTGGATAAAAACCATTACTTTAATAAATATGCTATTTAAAAGTAATAGTTAAACAAAATTTGAATTGTCATGTTTTGGTTTAATTAGTATTAATTAGTAGTAGTAGTAGTAGTTTAATTTAATTAGTAGTAGTCGAATTTAAATTAATATATAAGGAATAATTTTTGAAAAATTTCCATCATTTCTTACTGCTATTTAAATAAGCCAAGTTTCAAGCCAAATTTTAAGCCAACTTTTTTTTTTCTCATTAGTTTAACCAATAATTACATAATTACAGCCTACAACTTTTTCATGTAATTTTTGTAAAATTGAACTAAGCGTAATAAAATTTATTAAACTAAGCAAACTAAGCGTAATAAAATTTATCAAAAAAATAAAAAACGAATTTAATTTAGGAATAATTTTTAAATGAATTTCATGATATTTCATTACTTTTACATTTTCCGTATAAAATTACATTAAGAATTGATAAGAAATAAAATGATTGAAGTAATCATTTGCGCAAATGGTAATACATCACATCGGTTGTTTCATCATTTTGCTATCCAATAGCGCCATTTTATCGACTGTATGGTCATTGAAACAATGTGGTAATAAAAATTCTCAAGTATTTTGCTCAGATGAAGCAGTATGTGTTGTATTACGAAGCATAGAGTTAGTTCTTTTTTTTTCTTTAATCAATTAATCGAATAAATTATTAAATTGAAATTAAAAAGAAAAAATCGATCAAAGATTTTTCTTTTTACATTTTCTTCTAATCGTTAACTTTATTATTTAGATAAATGCATTATTTTTTGGCAAATTTTAAATGTAATTAATGGTTTCATTAATAATATAATTTCAATTTGTTTTAATTTTAAAGTTTGAATATAAGAAAGAATTTTTTCGCCAAAATTTGTCCGAAAATTTGTCCAAAACCTTTTTTTTGAAACAATTTTATGCCTAAAATAATTTTTTGCCATAAAAATTTTTATACAAAATTCCTTTATATTTTAAATAAAATTATCGATTCTTTCTTTGAATTTTGAGATTTAAAAGAAAGAAAAACCGATGAATGGATTTTAAACTTATTGGAAAAAAAAAGTTTGAAATAAATTTCACTTTTAAATCGAATATGTAGTTTTTTTTTCTTTTTTTTTTAGGTCACATAAACTACGATTCAGTTTTCGTTGTGACATGACAGGTTGGTGTATGAAACAATGTCCAAAATTACTTTCAAATCAAAAATGGTGCATATTGCGTAATTTAACACATGATATTAAATGTTGCTTAAATCATCATTGTAATTGGAAAGAAATGCCACTTTTTGCTGTCACTGTTAGTTTATTTTTAGTTAATAATTAAAAATATGAATTCTAATTTGAGATAATTAAATTATTTCTTTTTTTACCAAAAAATTTCCAATTATTTCTCTGATAAGTTTCAATTTTCGACACTCCTTACATTGTTAATTTTTGTAATTAAAGTATTTGAAATTAAATTTTATATCCTTGAAGTAAATGCAAACAAATTGATGAAATTATTGTTTCCTCTAATATTTTTCAAAATCCTTATCTTCTTTTTTTTTTGATAATTATTGTTTTTATCATTCAATCTCATATTCCAGAAGAAAGCAGTTAGAATAGTGTTGAAGATGCATGAAAACATCTTTATTTACCAATTTTTTTTTTTTTTTAAAATTAAATCTCAATCAATATGATTTGGAAATACTTTGAGATTATTGAATCATTTAGCTAATATTTAATACATAAAATTACATGTATAAATTATAATTTCAAATCAAATCTAATTCAATTCTCAAAAAATTTTTCCTTTTTTTAATTTCAAAAGAAAAAGTTTGAGTTTTTAACCAGAAATGGAAATTCTGGCTCGTTAAATTGTAATTTCAAATCAAATCTAATTCATTTTAAAATTTTCGAAAAAATTTCTTTTTTTTCTTAATTTTAGAAGAAAAAGTTCGAGTTTTTACCAGGAATGGAAATTTTGGCTTGTTTATTAACGCCAATTATTCTAATAATTTTTAACATTTATCCAATAGCATCAAAAATAATTCATGAATGGATGTTTGTGGCAAATAAAGAAATTGAATACAATCCAAAATTTGATCTTATACTATCACAAAATGATGGAATAATATTCAACGAT